TAATAAACCCATGTGGGACAAACAAAACATGTCTGCTAGCTAGCTATATGCAGCCTGAGGACCTCTGGTTTTCAACCGCCAGTTGAAGTCCTAAATACTTGTAGACATGTGTATTAAATTGCAGTAGTACAATTGTATGCCTATAAAAAATCCAAACGTCAAAAACAAAGGTGAATGTGAAAGTTTTCCTCCCCATTCTTCCTCCAAATCCTATTCCCTTCCCCAGTGGTGGCTTCTGCAATAGTCTGAGCTCATGTGCTAAAGATTTTGAACTTTTATTTTGTAAAATAATATGGCAGGGTAAAGCCAGAATCTGCAAATTCTAGATACAGATTCTAGTAGACCTTTTGCCTGTATATACAAGGAGATATGTGTACAAGCAAATACATACAAGGATGGTTATTGCTGTGAGAAATGTCTTAATCCCCATTTCAGAGAACTACATAAACAATCTGTGGTATATTCATATAACAAAATACTACATTGCAGTTAAACTGGATGAACTAGACATTTATGTATCAAATAAATAAATTCTCAGAAACATCAAATAGAGAAAATACATAAAATTATTTCCTACCATCTGTCTATCTTTCTATCATTCTATTTACCAATCTATCAGTCTAGCCCAAGGATAAAAACATGGACCACATGAAAACTCACCTAACTCACTGTATTAGTTTCCTGTTAGCACAAACTTAGTAACTTAAATGCACACAACTGTTCTTGAGGTCAGAAGTCTATGGTAGAGAGAGCAGCAGGGTGGTGTTGCTTCTAGAGGCTCTAGAACAGGATCTTTGACTGTCTGTCTTCTGGAGGTTACCCATACTCCTTGGCTCTTGGCCGCGTCATACCAACCTCTGCTCCCATCATCACATCTTCTCCGACTCCAACCCTCCCTCTAATAAAGTTGTTTGTGATTACATTGGACCTGGCTGGATAGTCCAGACTAATCTTCCCATCTCATAACCCTTCATTTAATCACAGCCACAAATCCCCTTTTGTGATGTAAGATAATATATCCACAATTTCCAGGGGTTAGGATTTGGATGTCTTTCGGGGCCATTATTCAGTCATGAGAATCTTTATGTGAGGAGAGAAGGAAAATAGGAGTGGGGAGATGAGCTAAGAGAGCTTCAACTTTATCTGCGAAGTTTTTATTTCTTGGTTTTAAAAAAGTATCTGAAACAAATTTGTCAAATTGCAGCTCTCTGATTATGGTAGGCAGTACTCATTTATTTCATATACATATCATTTCCTTTATTAACTTCTTCTCAAAATTATAAAGAGAGAAATAGGGTTAGGGAGGGAATATATTTTTTCCTGCTTCATGTTTATGGAAGGTGTGTCTTGCTACTGTGGGAATCTAGAATGGAAGAATCGGACTTCCTGTTTGAGAAACAAAGAGCAGAACCTTAGCATTTTGGACCAGAAGGGACCATAGGAAACAGCTGGGCCAGTGGTTGTCAGGTGGTCCTGGGAAGGCCCGGCTTGGGATAGTAGTTCAGGGGGCTGCTGGGGTCCAGAGTGGGTCCTTTATAATCCCCCACCTCCTCTTCTTCCACCCTTACCACTTCCCCCTTCCTTTCAACCAAAGCGCATCTCTCTCGTCTGCATTCTATGATGGGCTTCTGCATCATTCAAAAGGATGTTCTGTTCTTTAAGTAAAAACACACACTTACATGCAAACGTGCACACACACAACAGCCTGAAAACCACTGATCCTTTCCAACCTTCATCATTGTGTGATTGAAGGGCTTGAATCCGGGAAAGACAAGTGACTTAAGATCCGTAAAAGGTGTTACTATCTCTTCGTAAATCTTTTCTTTGTGAGTCAGAGCCCAGTCCACAGAGGAAAGCCTGAAGATTTTCCAGTAACTGGAACTATTTTATCTGAAACGTTTCCTGGAGTCACGGATTCCAAAGGACAGGGGTGGAGACGAGGAAGGAGGGGGTGTTTCTGGTTCATCCTCCGACTTCCAGATGAATAAAGAAACTGCTGAAAAGAAGGTTCTTAGGAAGGGGAGAATAAGTAATAAATCTTTAAATTAGAAAAGTAGCTTAGAAAAATCTGGATTCCCTGGAGCTCAAGTGGACAACAGAGGTGCTGTCCCCCTGGCCTCCTCTTAGTCCCTCTCACTTTTTTGGTGTGTTTTCCTTATTCTGTCTTTCCAAGCCTGTTTTTTGTCTGTCTGTCTTTTGTTTGACTTTTATATTTATTATATGCTATTTGAAGTGAAACGACAGGGTGGGGCGTCCTCCCTCACAGGCACGGGGGCGTGTGCGTGGCGGGGTTGTACCTCAGAGGAGATTTCCTTTGCCAGTTTTGGAACGAAAGCTGTGTAGAGGTTTGGAGGATCCACCAATACGGAGGAGAGTGGAGGGAGGAACCTGCCAACCCCAGTCTACCCACTTGGCAGGGGGTATGCAGTGCCACGTGGAGCGCGGTGTGAAAAACAGGCGTCCACTTCTGGAGACTGTCAATCATATGAAGCTTTTGAAAAATATTTCATTGCCACCTTCCAAATGACTTGATATCTAAGTGAAGAGTCGCGTTAAGATGTTGCCTCTAAAAGTTCATATAGATTAGGTTTGGGTGTGGCCGAGAGAGCTGATGACTGACATTTCTTGGACACATTTCTCCCGGGTGGTCATCATTGTCCTGGGCATTTGTAGATTGTGGTGGAACCTCTTAGTGGCCTACTCAATTTCCATCTCTTCCTTGCTAACAGAACCCCACGTTTGTTCTATTCTTTCCTTTCGAGGCTCAGAAAAAGGGGGACCCTGTCTCATTCCAAAGGTGAGTATTAACTAGTCTACAAATCATGATGTTCCATTTCCCTACCAATGAGTGTCTTAGAAAATGTTGTATAATACAACTCTGGCCAGTTGGGAAATCATCTAGGGGGAGGGTGAAGGTTCTGGGGAAGAGACAGAAAGAGATGGCTTTTCTCTCTGGGGCCTGTGTCTAGATGGGCTTCCTGAAGTCGCTGTAGTTGTCTTGTTAGCAGCCAGATGAACGTCAGCACATAGAGGAGGGCAGGGCCAAGAGTCCTGATGTTCTTCCCTGGGGCCTGGGATAGCTCTGGACTAAGTATGTGATATGACTTCCTAGCATGGGATATGATCATTTTCTTCTGGCTTAAACCATATTAAGTTTGGAGTTCTGTTACTTGCATCGGAAATCATTCCACAGGTTAGTTCATGTAGTCTTCACCACTGTCCATGCAGCGTCTATTTCCTTGGTACAGGTTCAGAAATGCTGTTTAAGTTAATAGAGCTAGTAAGCAGCTTCGTCCAAATTCAATCCAGGGCTGACTTTATAAAGGAGATGGGACCCAGCGCTGCCCTGAGGGAGAGGCCAGGATTTTGTTCACTAGGGTCTAGTACTGTGCTTGTCACACAGTAGCCATTTGGAATTAAAATGAGCTCAAATCCTGTTTATGTTATTACCCTATGCTACTACTTTGGAAATGACATATAACTGCTATTTCCCACAATGTGGTAGACCAGATATTCTTAAAGACCCTACCACCGCCAAATACCTAAGGTATCTAAAATTAATTTTAAAAGTTTAAAAACTTCAAGAATGTATTGCTGAGTTGGCATGCACACACACACACACACACACACACACACACACACACACACACAGAAAAACTAAAAGGCAAAATAAAAAAAAAATCAAATGGCAAATCTAGAGAGGTGAGTGAGTGGTAAAGCCAGAGGCTCTCTGAGGGAAAAATCTGTCAATTTCTAGAGACCACCAGGCCCACGCCCACAGAAGCAGAAGGACTGGATCAGAGACCCCAGCATGAAGCTGGACTTCTGAAGGGATTGACCTGTGGTGGGAGTGGGGTACACACAAAGGGACTAATAAGGAATTACTTGTCATGAAAAAGCCTCTCTAAGACACGTGTCCCCATAAGGCAGCCCTCAACTCAGATTTCCAGCCCAAATTAACTGTATCTGCATATTCTGGAAAACCTCAGATTGAAAGTTTCAATTAAATTGATCCTCGGTGGATGGTGATTCTGAGGGCCTAGAAGGAGCAAACGTAAATTCTCTCTGGAGAGCCCACCCTGCCCCCAGCCAGGCCTCAAAGAATTCCAGCAGGTAAAGATCCAGGAAATACAAACTCGTGGTTTTTAAATACAAACCACAAAACACACAAGGAAACAAAATGCCATAAGTGAGAGTCAACAGGAGCAACAAAGAGAAGAATCAGACCCCAGATTTTGGAGTTATTAAACTCCAGAATATAAATTTAGTTTATAAATATAAACATTTCAACTCAGGAGAATGAGGAGAGGAAAAAAGTCATGGGGGCCAGAAAAAGGGAGAGAGAATACAATTAATGTACAAATTGCTCAAATAATATTGTACAGCATGTTGTAAAGATTCTAAGCAATGAAGAAGGTAAGGAAATTTGAAATAAGCAAAAAAAAAAAAAAAAAAAAAAAATTACTGGGTGTTTCCAGTAGGAAACTGCATTGTTCAGAACACACCCTTTAGGATTACCCGATTCTAGCCTTTCATTGCCATTGAGCTATCTTACAACTCTGTAAATAGTAGATAACTAATGGCAATGTAAATAATCTCGCCTATAGAGGTTTAATTAACCGGCAATAGAAGGCTTAAGAGAGATAAACCTCTGGGGACTCTCTCTCTTCCTTGGTTGGCTGTGAGCAGGGTGAGAATAGAACAATAAGGAAGCTTCCAGAACGGCACTGTCCAGTAATGAGAGTGAAATGTGATTGCCTAGATTAACATATGCTGTAAGCCTAAAATATACACCAAGAAGATTTGTATAATGAAGAATGTAAATATCTTATTAATAATTTTTATATTCATTACAAATTGAAATGATAGACACACAAGGGAATCCTGTCCAGTAGAGGAACAGCGCCTCCCCTCACCCTGGCAAAAGCAGTTTCACATCCATTTGCAAATTCCGGGTCTAAAAATGTGCTGTCCTTTGGACCCCATTGCAACATCTGCCTGGTCCTCTCTGTGATCTTTACCTTTTCTTTTCAGTTGTCCTTATAACAAGAAGTACAAAATAGAAGAAAAAGTGGAGTCTCCTTCTTCCTCAGCCCTTGAAAACCACCGGAGAGCAGGTGGAGAGGCCATGCTCACGGACAGGCCCCGAGGCGTGCTGCCCCTCTTCCGGACAGAGTCCACCGGCCGGCCTAGAGGCTGCTCCCAAGGTGAATAGCTGGCCCCATTTTCTCTGGTGTAAGACTGTCTGGGTCCAAATCATAGCTCCACCACTCAAATCTGAGCAATTTGGGACAAGTCTGTAAAACCTTCCTTGCCTCAGTGTCCTCATCTGAAATCGAGGATGGTGACATAATCTTTACCATCCCTGGTGGGGTTCTGGTAAAGAGTAAGTTGAGTTATATTTGTAAAGCTCTAGAAATAGTGCCTCAACCGTTGGTTAAAGCCAGTCTTAGCTAACACTGTTTATTATTGTCCGCATGACTGAATGGTGTATTTTCAGGCAAATTTCAGTCTAAAACAGTACCGCTGCTTGGCAAAAAGGGCTGCTTTCTTAATCCTTTTCTTTGCTATTCCTTTTCACCCGCCCACTGTTTCTGGCGGACTCCTAGGAGCAAAACCGTATGCAGGGGAGACACAGAGAAAAAAGTAGGAAGCGAATGCCAGGAATCAGCAGGATTAGCCTATCTGTAACATCTGATTTGAGGTGGGAGAGGAGGGAAGTACCGAAAATTTTGTCTGTCTCAAAATACCCTAGCAACCTCAGCCATGTGGTTAAGTGAGTTATTCCCCTTAGTCAATTCATTTAACCAGAGGGAAAATATTTTCTCCAGAAGACCTCATGAAAAACCAATGGAGAAGCCATATGGAGGACCAGCTGCTAAGCCTGCAGCCTTGGATACCACACTGCTTGAGTTGGACATCCTGGCCTGCCACTTTCCTGCTATGGCAACTTAGGCAGTTTACTGAAATTTCTTTACCTGATAGGGTTTTCAAGAGGATTACATGAGGCGGGGAACATAATATGCCTGGACAGTTAGCATTCAGTATTCTAATGGTGCATACAGTGTGGGCCTACAGATGCCTAGTTCGGTGGTCCTCCACCAGGATTTCACATTGTAATCACTAGGGAAGTTTATCAAAATACAAGGTTCCAGGCACTGAACTGGGAACCCTGGGGGCTGAGCAGAGTTGTTTTCCTAAAGGAGGGGAGGGGTTACAAGCAAGCCACAGCTATACCCTGCGTTGGAGGGTACTGGTGCCCCAGAATATCAGGTTGTTGTCCATGTAGTGCCAGAAATACCAAGAGGCCAAGTGAGGCAGTGAGAAAGGCACCAGCTCTGGAGTCAGGCAGGTCTGTGATGAAACTCAGGCCCATCCAGTGCTGGCTATGTGACTTCAGGAAAGGCATTTCATCTCTCTGGGCCTCAGTTTCCCCATCTGTGCTGTAGAAATCATTATAGCTTTCTTGAAGCTTGTGCTGAGGATTCATTTAAGGAGGCAGCACCTGGCGGTCAGCCGATGTGAGCATCCTTGTCTTTTCAGGATGGAGCCCTGACGTCATTCAACACCAAGCCCTTTGAGAAGTTGGGAAATGGAGATTCTGGGAGCATCCCTGGCAGCAGTTGAGCTGTCCAACCAGCCAGCTGGCCTTTAGGCTTCGAATGGAATGGAATTTCCTTCAGAAGGAGCAGCTGCAGGTCACTGGTCAGAGTTCCTGGTGGGTGGTCACTGAGGATGGCTGCCGGCTCAGAGGGTCAATGGTAGGGAACCTGGGCAAGGGCAGACAGGCAGCGGGGACAGTTCCTTTGGCTTTTTCCTTATTAAAAAATAAACTGTCCATTTCTGGGAGTTAAGAGCCTTCAGATTAGCCCTAGGGATATTCTCTCCCTGCTAGTTGAACAAAAACATCCCAACTGGGCTGAGTCCTATTAAAAAGGGACGTGAGTGGTGTGGTTCTGGCTGTTGGTGATGGCGTTCCCTTCCACCCAGGGGAAGAGTTCCTTTGATGTCTCCCTCTATCCATGGCTTGACTTATACTCTTGGAACAGAATGATCTAATTCTCAGCATTAAATGCACAAACAGATTTACACACCTCATGACACAAAACCATTTACACACAGCCAAACCAGAAGCGGTTCTGAGGCCTAGTCAACAGAGACAACCCATCGATTTTTCCCTCCCTGATTCCTATGTCCCACCCCAGCCCCCAGCAATAGTCCTCCATCTGTCCAACTGAGGAAGAAGCCATCAAAGGGGAAATTCCCCGCAATGTGCTTGGGGTCATCTAGCCCAAGATATGGCCAATTTTGAGATTAGGGTTCATGGCTGCAAAAACAGCTGCAATCGATTAAAGCTATAGGGACTGTCAACAAGGAAGTAAGGCCACCCACCACCCTGCACTGGATTTATGGCTTAAAACCAGTACAGACCAGCTTGATCCAACAGGGCAACTAATTTCACCTAACTGTAACCCCTGACCTCTTTACACTCTCATTGTAATACATTAGCCTGCTAAGCAACGCACCTGCCCTACCATGATCGGAAACGGAAAGCCCATATAAGGACACTAAATGGTCAAGTAGCTTCTCTGAGAAATCCCCACCTCTTTCCCAGGAAGATCCTGAAGATTTCTCCCCCTCAGTGAATACCCTATCCCAACCCCCCACCCCCGATTAAATGAACCTCAATAAAAGAAGCAAATTTCACTGAAGGGGAGCTGCTCTGTCTGTGGAGTAGCCACTCCCTATCTCAGTGCTTCACTAATAAACTCACTTTAGCTTTAAACTTCACACTGGCTTGAAAGTGAATTCTTTCCAGCATGAAGCCTAGAAACTACAGCGGGTTGTGGACCCTTGGGTTCTCAGACCCGTGAAACACCTGCATCGCTTTTACCAAGCCTTTTCTAGCCATAAGGTGTTCTGGGAGGGAATATTGGGAATAGGATTTTGCAGGGAGAGGAGCTTGAAACTCAATTCCCACTTTCTTTGCAGGTGTCTCTTTGTTATTCACTTAATGACTCTTCTTGTTTTGGGGCTCTTGTTAATGTTTTGTCTTTATTCTGGTCATTGCTGCTTCTTGCGCTGTTGGTAAGAGTGCACGGTCTCCCCATCTCTCTCTCAGGTGTACAACAGAAGCATCCAGGAACCTCTGCTGGTGAGTTTTTCACCTGTTTTATTCCTCTTTACATCTCAACACTTAGCACAGTACTGGGCTCCAGGATGGTCCTCAGTCATGGGCGCTGAACCAGTGGGGTGGCTTGTTATTTCACAGGAAGTGAGGCTCAGCTTAGAGAAGGGTACCTCTGTTAGGGTTCCTCTAAAAGGTAGCTCTGTCTGTCTCAGGCTTTACTGGGCAGAGGGCAAAGGAGGGGTAGGAGAGGAGAGAAGCCAACAGTTTTCCGGCTCTGCCCCCAGGCAATGGGAAACACTCGGGATTTGGAACCTGAAATCTTGATTCAAGAGACAGACCTTTCACTTACTAATGGCATGAACCTTGGGCTACTTACTTAACTCTCGGAACCTCAACTTGTTTACTTATTTGTTTCCTGGAAAACATATTAAGATTTTTCTTTCCTGCCTCACAAAGAAATTATGGCAATGAAAGAAATAACATTTCTGAAAATGCTCTCTATAGAGAAGTGTATGAATGCTTTATAAAGAAGTAAAGTGGTTTGACTAGTGGGTTCCAAGTGTTATGGTTCAAAAGAATCAGGTGCCTACTCTGTGCTAGGGGTTTCGGTGAGCACATAACCGAGGGGTGGGAAGAGTGCTCTGAAGGCAGCCCAAAGAAGGGAGCCATTCACAGACCACGCTCAGCCTGGTGCTACCCTGGATGTTTCTGTTGCTGAAGCCTGTAACCTTTCATCCTGTGGAATCTGCAGCGGAGTCTGTGAACGGCCCCCTTCTATGGGCTGCCTGCCCCCATTTGCACCAGTACTGGCCACTGACTCTGGGAATACTGGGAAATAACCAAATACAGTGTCAGCTGAAGCCCCATAGGGATCATGGACACAGTGATTCCAAGTATCAGTGTCCAATCTCATAGTGGACACCATAAGAGAAAAAAAGTACACGAGAGTTTTGCTATTTTCCCCCATCTATCGCCTCAAATGAGATGTTATAGATATGCTAACTCCTCTGCTGGTAGCCAGCCCCGCTGATTTCTGGTATTCACTTCCTACTTCTCTGCTCTCTGACGCCCCCTCATACCGTTTTGTTCCCAGGAATCCACCAGAAAGAGTGGGTGGGTGGAAAGAAATAGCAAAGGGAAAGATGAAAAAACTAGCACTATATTGGGAAGCAGTGATACTGTTTTAGATTGAAATTTGCCTGAAAATAGACGATTCAGTCATGCGGGACAATAATAAATTGTATGTAAGTACCCACACTCACGCACGTTTTATGCAAATGTCCATGTGGCCTTCCTGGGTATTTGGAGATGGTGTGAGAAAATCCTAAGTATATCCCCGTGGTTAAGAGCTAGGTGTTGAAGTCCCTCAGACCTAGGCATTGAATACTAGCTCTTCTAACTGTTAGCTCCATGACCTCAGGCAAGCTACATGACCTCTCTGTCTCAGTGTCCTTCTCTATAAAATGGGCATTATACAGTGCCTACCTTGTGAGGACTAAGTGAGTGACGCACTGCAGACTCCCCTTTACGGTGACCTGGAAGGAGACTGTGACTTTAACCAGACCCGCTCCTCTTCTCTGCTTTCTTCTCTCCTTGTCGATGACCTATCTTCTCCCCTCCCACACAGGGGCACCAATTCAAAGCTGGCTCCTCCTTCAAGATATCTATCTCTCAGGACTTGACTCCCTTCTTTGTATGGGGTGTTCTGTCTTGGCTTTGAGACAGATTTCTTAAATTGTCTTCCTCAATTGCAAGTGATTCAGCCATTGCTTAGAGATGTAATTAACCAGCAATAGAAAGCTTGAGAGAGAGAAAGCTCTGGGGCTTCTCTTCCTTGGTTGGCTGACAGCAGGGTAAGAATAAAATGAAAAGGAAGCTTCCGGAACAGCACCATCCACTAGGGTAGCCATGGTGGCTAATGAGCACGTGAAATGTGGTTGCCCAAATTAACATATGCTATAAGTATAAAATACACACCAGATTTTGAAGATTTGTGTAATGAATAATATGTCTTATTCATAATTTTTATATTTATTACATATTGAAATGATATTTTCATTGGTTTTACTTTTGTTTGTTTTTTAAAGATTTTATTTATTTATTTTTAGAGAGAAAGAGGAAGGGAAGAAGAGAGGGAGAGAAACATCAATGTGTGGCTGCCTCATGCATACCCCCTATAGGGGACCTGACCCACAACCCAGGCACGTGCCCTGACTGGGAATCAATCCGGCAACCTTTTGGTTAACAGGCCAGCACTCAACCCACTGAGCCACCCCAGCCAGGGCAGTTTTACTTTTGTTAATGTGGCTACTAGACAATTTGAAATTGCCTATGTGGCTGCTGCATGATGCTGTTCTTCGTGATTTAATAATGACTTAATAATGTCCCGAGACCTTTTAAAAATGACTTTAAATAGATCTTCTACCTTTATGAAGCAGGTATTGTTAAAACTGTTTTTCAGTTAAGACCACGGCACATTGCATGTGTACAATCAGTAGACTCGTGTGGCCAGAGCAGCTCCAGCCAGGGAATAATCGAAAGGAAGGACACTTCTTGGGAATCGGGAACCCTGGCCTTCTCCTCCTCACCACACCTTTGCTGACCTCCAGCAAATTACTGCCCCTCTCTGGAGCTCAGATTTTTACTTAAAAAATAAAGAGATCTGTTGGATTAGAATTTAAAGGTGGGAAGCTAGTAGCCTGTGGGCTGAATATAGCCACAGATTTGTTTGTCTGTTTTGGCCAGTGCAGCGTGTTTTGTAGTGGATTTGCATACTTTCAGGCAGGGGCTGGGCACTGTCCTGGTGACTGGGGCTCCTGCTGCTCCCCTTGGACTCTCATTCAGCCACTTCCTACAGTTCCATCACCTGCTTCAAAACCCTTGGCTGCAGACATTAAACGCCAGGTAGAATGACCCCATGGGAGGACTGCTGACCCCTCCTTCTGTTCACACCCACGGACCGTTCTCAGAACCATGAGATCTTCAGAGGTAGTCAGTCACCAGTCCTCTCCTAGCTGAACTTTTGTCTCCCCTTCTAGCCCTCTTTCTTTTTTTAACTGATGTTACCATTTTAAATTTCCAACAAAAACAGCACCATATCTGCCTAGTGAAGGAAACAAAAATAATCTATTCAGGAACAACCTTCAATTTTATAGACAAGAAAACTAAAAGAAATCAGGGCATATAATGCTTTTATACTTGCACGTGTTGGCAATTTTATCATCTGTCTTGGAAAATGTGATAAAATATAATTTTTATAAATTCAAGTCCTATACTTATTTTTAATTCCTTTACATGAAATCCAGGTAGGATTTTTTTTTAAACAAAAATTCAATGGAATGAATGGCTAGAAAAATCATATAGAACTGCTTCCCTTTCCTTGTGATTATTCTGTATAAAATTTGAACAAAAAATAGGTAAATGTAACCCATGTGATGAAAGCAAATAGCTAAAGGATTTAAAGCACTAAAAGCAGTCTTTTTGCAGGGATAATAGCAATCTGAATGTGAGCTACTGCGTTTGCATATTAAACACAAGTCTTTGTCCCTTTCACCTCAGTAGTGTGAGAAAGCAAAATCTGGTTTGATGGGGGAAAAGGAAAAGACCATAAATAAAAGGGTGTGTTGTTTCCTGAGGGACATTCTTCCTAATGGCATTCTGCCCAGAAGCCCTTTTTTCTTGGCTAATCACATGTGACCAGAGTAAGTTAAGTAACCACACTGAGACCCCTGAGCGTCTGGAGAGACCACAAAATTGAGCAGTGCCTTCAGGGTCCAGACTTAAGGCAGATCAGACCCTGAAGCCAGACTGGTCAGTGTCGCTATTGAATAAACACAGTCATGGAAACCACATGTGATCTGTCTGGAGAAATTCAAGGTCAGTGACGGGATAAATCCTCCCCAAACTTAGCTATTCAAAGGCACCTCAGAAGTGTCTGATGGTAGGATCACCTCCCCCCACCACCACTTCCCAGGCATCTCTTTCTGGGGGAGAAGTCTAACCCTGGATATGTGGCCTGATGCAGGCAAGGAGCATCTCCTTGTATTTTTCCCACACATGTTGCACAGCACGGCCATGACCTCTGCCCTCCAGAAGCCAACGTCCAAAAAAGAGAAAAGACAGATCTATTTCTCATCTACAGAAATATAAAAAGGTAAATGCTGGAAGTTGCCTTAAGAATTCAAGGAAAAGTAGAAACAAACAAACAAACAAGAAGCCTTTGCAAATGGCAAAAACCAATCAACCAACTGAAGTTCAGGAGAAGAAAATCGTTAGCAAAACAGTTGAGGGAGATGCATGTTTTCTCAACCTGCATGTTCGTTTTCTCAACATGGGTGTTTGTTTTCTCCTTTGCACATATTCTTTCCGTAGTAGCAGGTCCTTAAGTCTCCCTCTGTTTCTCCATAGACTATCTGACTATGATCCCAGGTGCATCAGGAATCCCACTTTGCCCATGAGAATTTTTTCTCACCCTCTAACCCTACCTTTGCTGCTCACACATGGCCTTGAGCAGCTTGCCTTCCTGACTAGGCTGTAGACCCTGCACATCCAGAGCTCTGTGAGTGACAGTATCTCGTTGAGCTGAGCACAGAGCTTTCCAGAGGAGCCAGGGGAGCAGGATCTCCATCAGCCCTGGCCCGGGGCCTGCCTGGGGCACAGAGTTTTTCTGACTCTCTGCCTGGTCCCCTTCTTGGTGAAACAGGGACCACATTCCTCTGTCCTGTTTCTTTCCTCACCAGAAAGGAGAGAACCAAAGAGATGTTTATTTTCCTATTCAAAAGATAAGGTACCAGGGAAACAGGAAGGGTTATGAGCTGTCCGGGAGGTTTATGACAGTAATTGCTATTATCCAGATTATAAAGATTTTCTTAGAAAACCAAAAGTTTTCCCATCGAACAGAACTGGACTATTAAAAAATAAATAAAAGGGAAGCAAAGAAAAACCTTCTACAGCCTTCTGCAGGATGTGGTTATCAGGCATCTGAGGACTTTTTTTTAAAAAAGATATGTATATATTGTATTTATAGCAGTCACAAGTTAATGCAGGCAGGTCCATAAAACAGGAATTAACAGTAAAATATATAGTCCATACTCAACTCTACACTTAAAATCGTTAAGATGATCAACTTTGTGTTATGTGTATTTTATCACAATTAAAAATGTAAAAAAAGTACTGTCCATGGTTGACACCAACCATTCGAATACATGTAACAAGTTGAAAATGGAAGCGGTGAGAGCAGCTCAAAATAATGGTGGAAGATGGGCTAAACTATTTTGGCCTAATTGAAGGGCAAGTGAAGTCAATAACTGTGATTATACCACAGGTGAGATAAGAAAGAGATGAAGTTCACCGTGGAGAAAAGGTAGGCATTTGTTAAGATATCAAAATTATACTTGGAATTCAAATAAATTGATGCATAACTAAGTGCTATATATTCATTAGATGTCTGTTTTTATTTAAATAATTCTCTGCCAAAAGAATACGAGTTGGAGCTGAGAACCATCATAATCTTACCTTGTTGATTATGTAACTTCATCCTTTTTTCCCCCCGTAAGTTAAAAGTCAGAATGCGTCAAGAACATAAAATCCCAGCCTGACAGATGAGGCGCGGGACAAGGGGAAGAGGCAGTGATTCTGGGCAGGCGTTTTTGCCGGGCACACCTGCAGAGACAGTAGAACACCGGAGGCACGACTCGCTCGCTGAGCACAATTGTTTAAAAGCTTCATCGTTGTTTGTTGTAGCATTTCCCAAATGACACTTACACTGTGCTAAGCACTTTGTGTACATCAACTCGTTTAATCCTCAGAGCAACTTGCAAGGTTTTATCACAAATGGGGAAGTGGAGGCACAGGCAGTCACTGAGTAAGTGGTTGAAAGCCGTGTGGCTCCAGAGCCTGGGGGCCTTCCCCGCTGCTGTGGGCGAAATGGCAGAGTTCGGCCCAAACGCCTGCGGTGGAGCTCTAACCCGCCTGTGAGGGTGTTTGGAGACGGAGCCTTTGGGAGGTAAAGTAGGTTTAGAGGAGGCATGAGGCGGGGTCCGTTCGTGGGGTTGTAAGACATCTCTCCCTGTCTCTCCAAAATACCCAGCCGACGTTGTCACTTCCTCCCTTTGTTCCTCACTTCGTTTGTCAGGCTGGAATTTTTTTGTTCTTGGCGCGTTCTGACCTTTAACTTGGAAAAAAAAAAGATGAAGCTACATATCAGTTGTATTCTGCGTGTGCGCAAAGAAAAGGTCATGTGAGCGGACAACAGATGGAAGCTGCCTGCAAGAAAAGCAGTCTTAGAAGGAAACCTACCTCGCTGGCACCGTGATCCTGAACTGCCAGCCTTCGGAGCTGTGCGAAATAAACGGAGCTGTCCGTTGTCGTGGCAGCCAGAGCAGACTCGTCCTCCTTCTGCCCAGCACAGAATTCGAAGGAATGGCACGTAAATGTTTAGGCCACAACAAACACGGAATAGCATAACAATGAATGCCGAAACCACAGGAGCCTAATAAGAGATGACTGCTGATTGGTTAAGGGTTGCTGCCTCTCTCTCTCCAGCACCCACCCGGCACAGGTGTGCGTGGCTTGCCCACTGTGCTAGCATGGACGCATCTCTGAAGGCAAGTAGACACTTTGGGGGAAAACCACGTGTGTTCGATATCTTTTTTAAAATATTTTTTTCTTTAGGACACTTTTAGATTTACAGAAACATTGCAAAGAAAGTAATGTACATTTGCTACAATTAGTGAACCAAGTACTGATGTGTTATTATTAACACATGTGATTCAGATTTCCTGAGTTTTCACCTACTGCCCTTCCTGTGTGCCGGGATTCCGTCAAGAACGCCACGTTACATTTTGTTGTCACATCTCCTCAGGCTCCTCTGGGCTGTGACAGCATCTTAGACACACTAGTCAGGTACTTTGCTGACTGCTTCTGCATTGGGATTTGTCTGATGTCTTTGTTGCTTCACGATGTAACTGGGATTATGGGTTTTTAGGAGGAAGACCACAGAGGTAGAGAATCATTTTCATCTTCGCGTCCTTCTTCTCCTTCAACTTTATTTCTTAGAGCAGTCTTAGGTGCACAGAAAAACTGAACAGAATGTACAGAGATTTCCCATATACTCCTTGACCCCCAACAGCCTCTCACAACCGATGTGACCCACCAGAATGGTGTGTTTGTTAAAACTGATGACCCCACATTGCCACAGCTTTATCATCCACAGTCCACGGTTTACACTAGAGTTCTTCACTTTTGGTGGTGTACATTTTATAGGTTTTGGCAAATGGATAATGACATGTACCCACCAGTATATAGTTTCACTGCCCTAAAAATCCTCTGTGCTCTGCCTGTTCATTTCTTCCCCCACCACACCCCTGAAAAACATTAATCCTCTTATTGTCTCCAGTTTTGCCTTTTCCAGAACATTATTTTTTTGGAATCATATAGTATGTAGCCTTCGCGGGTTGGGTTCTTTCACTTAGTAATATCTATGCATTTAAGATTCCTCCATGTCTTTTCATGGTTTGATAATGTATTTCTTTCTAGTATTGAATAATATTCTATCGTCCATATATACCACATTTTATTCATTCATCTACTGAAAAACATATTGGTTGCTTCCAAGTTTTGGCAATTATGGATAAAGCTGCTATAAACATCCATGTAGAGTTTTTTTCTGCAGACATACACTTTTAATTCATTTGGGTAAAAATATCAAGAAGATAAGTGGCTGGATAATGTGGTAAGAGTATGTTTAGTTTTATAAGAAACTTGTCAAACTGCCTTCCAATGTGGCAGTACCATTTGGCATCCCTACCAGCCATGAATGAGAGTTCCTTTTACTCCTTGTCCTGGTCAGCATTTGGTATTGTCAGCGTTCTGGTTGTTGGCCATTCTAAATGACTGTGTGGTGTTATCTCATTGCTGTTTTAATTTTCAGTTCTGTAATGGCACATGATGTTGATCATCTTTTCTTATGCTTACTTGCCATCTGTATATCTTTTATGGTGAAGTACCTGTTCATGGTTTTTGCCCATTTTTAATTGGGTTGTTTCTTTTCTTATTGTTGAGTTTTAAGAGTTCTTCATATATTTTGGCTATCAGTATTTATTTTATCTAATGTTTCTTTTGCAAATATTTTCTTCTAGTCTGTGGCTTCTCTTATTTTCTTAACATTGTCTTCTCAGAAGTTTTTAATTTTAATGAAGTCCAGCTCACCTGTTATTTCTTTCATAAATTGTGCCTTTGGTGTTGTATCTAAAAAGTCATACTCAAGGCCATCTAGGTTTTCTCCTGTGTTATCTTCTAGGACTTGGTTGGTTTTGTGTTTTACTTTTAGGTATGTGATGTTTTTGTGAAGGGTGTAAGATCTGTGTCTAACGTCATTTTTTGTCACATGTAGATTCACTATTGTTCCACCTGATACCACTGATTACACACAAACACACACACAAGTTTTGGAAGAAGAATATTGGTTACATCCTAGTAACCTCTCATGACACAGAGATGGCTGCAGAGCAGTTTGGGAAATCTTGGTCTTCTAAGTGGAGACCCTCCAGAGTCTTCCCCCTGCCACCTCTGAAGAGTTGGCCCTCAGGACTTTCTCACATTCTCAGTCCTCTAGCCAGACCGAGCTACAGTCTGCCTTTTCCACCTTGTTTTCACCAAAATGGCCACTTCATCCTGGAAGTTCCAGGTTTCACACTGGAAACTTTCCCAGGCTGAACTAATGTCTTCTCTGGGCTTATAGGACACTCTACTTATACCTCTGTTATAGTGCTTTTCAAATTCTGTAATGGCTAGTTCTTGATCTGTTTTTACCCTACTTTGTAGAATCCAACCTCTCCTTCATAATACCCCCCTTTCAAGTTATAAAGCATATTTCCTTCCTCTTATCACAAACTGGGTGGGTGAGTGGGCCATCGCTCCATTCAGGTAGAGTCCTGACTTGCTTGGGAACCAGTGAATGTGAGAATGGTCAGTTTGTGTATTTTGGGTAAAACAAAAGCATTTGTGCATTGTAGGCAAAAGCACACATCGAGTTCATGTATGTATAAATATTTTAAAGTTATGAATTTAGAGAATACATTTTTAAAGGTTTTATTTATTTATTTTTAGAGAGAAGGATGGTGAGGGAGAAAGAGAAGGAGAGAAACACTGATGTGAGAGAGAAACATCAATCCATTGCCTCCTGTACACACCCCAACCGGAGATCAAACCCACAACCCAGGCATGTGTCCTGACCAGGAATTTACCAGTGACCTTTCATTTTGGGAGATAATGTCCAGCCAACTAAGCCACACCAGTCAGGGCAAGAATAAACTTTTAAATAAAATATATTTTCTTCTCCTACCTTTACAAATATACCTTCAGAATGACCGGAAAAGGAATTTCAATTGCAGAAGTCTTGAACTCCTTGGAGTTCTGTGATGGAATGGGGCGGCACGGGAGCAAGGCCTCCCATTCCCCTCTCCTGTCCTGCTTCCCTTCCTGCACCTGGCTCTCTCTGGGCAGCCTCACACGCAAGCTCTTGGGTACTATGGCCTGCAGGTCCTACAGCCTCTGACCACATGCCTTGCAAACAGCTGTACTGGGATCATGTTTCTGTCCCAGAGATCTCACACTGACAGTGAGGTCAGCCCTGGGAAGATGGGTTTGGGTGAGGCCAACAGACCTGGAAGCAGGATCAGGCACAGCCATCTGTGCAGAGGATTTTGGTGTCCCAACCACCTAGAGTATGGTCTAGAGGTGGGTGGCTATGGTCTAGAGAGGAGGGGGCCATGGTCTAGAGGGGAGGGGGCCATGGTCTAGAGGTGGGTGGCCACATCTGCCTGGCTCTGGGGCCTCCTCGTCCAGTGGGGTGAGATTCGGCTGGAATAAGATGGTTCTCAGACTTTAACATGCGTGTGTATCACCTGGATCTGATTCAGTAGGTCTGGGGTGGGGCCCGAGATTCTGCATTTCTAACAAACTGCCAGATGATGCCAGTGCTGCTGGTACAAGGACCAGACTTTGAGCAGCTCTAAAGCCTGGGCCTGAGGCAGCGTCCCTTTGGCCCGGGTAGGCCAATACCTTTAGCCAGAAAGGATGTGTTTGATAATAAATAATTTAATTATTCCTATGGTAAATTACCAATAGAATTTAGTACACATTTAAATTACACAAAAATAATATATGAACGATACAAATTTGAATATAGCATCAACACCCACCCTTGGGGAGTTCTTTAGTCTGGCATGCCCGGGTGAGTCTCATAGCTCTCAGCCCTCCCAGCGGTCATTTTTGTCCCCTGCTTGTACCCTGTGACCCCTTCCTGCTTG